ATGCAAAGCTGAATTTCCATCAGCCATTACTCCAGTATAAAGTGTCACATGATCCTTCAGAAATCATTCTATTATGCCGATTTATTATTAGAATCATCAATGTTGGTAACGGTTGTGCTGCCAAATATTTTTTTGGAAGCTGCGATACTTTTTTCAGGATTCTTTGATGGATAAAAAGTAAAAAAAAACAGCATTTATTCACAATATAAATCTTTTCTAACAATATAAATCTTTGCTATCACTTCTTAACAATTTAACTCATCCTTGCTGAATAAAAGTTTTAATTTCTTTAAAAAAAAGAAAGAATAAAAATTTACTGACCCCAAACTTTTGAACGGTAGTGTATATTGTTAGAAAAAATGCAGCATATTAGAATGATTTCTGAAGGCTCATGTGACACTTTATACTGGAGTAATGGCTGATGGAAATTCAGCTTTGCATCACAGAAATAAATGATATTTTAAAGTATATTAAAATAGAAACCATTATTTTATATTGTAATAACATTTTGCAAGATTACTGTTTTTTTTCTGTATTTTTGATCAAATAAATGCAGCCTTGATGAGCATAAGAGACTTCTTTAAAAAACATTACAAGTCTTACTGATCCCAAACTTTTGAACGGTAGTTTATATGTCTATTTAAGTAAATAAATGTTAATAAATGTATAAATAATACAACAAATTATGTTGTTTCCCTCTAAATTCCACATTCCTTTGGGGTTGCTGCATAACTAATTTCTGTGACAATACCATCCATGTAATGATACCTCATGTAAACTGTCCAGTAAACATAGGCTGTGCTTGGAAAGGTTAGCAGTGAACAAGTTTGAGAGCTGCACCACCAGACAGTATCAGGGGTAACGCTGTAGATTTCAATGCACTGGATAAGGCTGATGCGAATCATGTGAAAGGAACTTTAGAATCCACAAAAGTCAACACATTTTACAGAACATGACATTTCAAAACATCATGCATAATATGATGCATCATGCATTCAAAGCTGAATAAAGCAGGTATCTGATAAGAGAGCGACTCTTCTCTTCAGCAGACACGCTTTCAATCGAGAGATGACGTTAGATTCATGCAGCGGATTCACACATACTTTTTGACACACCACACAAGCAGATAGGGAAAGAAATGCGAAAACTCAATGGAAGTCAGTGGCCGCTCAAGCTAGAGATCTTACGACCCTAGAGAAGCAAACAAGCATGCGGGAAACAATCGAACTCGCTACAGCCTCACTCTGAAGCCTGAGTTGCTCAAGTAGCTCTAATCCTTAGAAGAAAATTATGAACTATTTGAGACAAAAAAAAAAAGAGGCAACAGACAGTTCTAGAAGAACTAAAAAAGCTGAAGGCCATAATCCTAAAGTCGGACTACAGAGCTCAGGCTTTACGAGACTCTAAACTAAACCCAGAGCGGGAAAATAAGAGAGGCTTTAGAACTTAAGAAGGTGAAGCATTAGTCTGAAAAAACAGGCAGGTTAACAGAACACTACATCTCTCTGGTCAGAAGGACCGGAGGAAGAGAGGGAAGGGGCAAGGAAAAGGAGAGGGGGGCAGAGGGTTTTAGGAAGCGCATTATATGGATCCGAGCACCGTATGAGCCCACAGTTCTTTAGAAATAACTAGTGTGTGTGCACTATTTAATAGCCTGTGTGTCGAGTCTGCATGTGTCTGGGCATGTGCTGGCTTGATATAAAGAGGATTTTTCAGGGAAAACGGAATCTATTTTTTGTGACCTTTGGTGATGGACATTATTACCTGGCTCTGGCAACATGGGCGGCAGGCTGACTGTGATGTGACCTTTGGTGATGGACATTATTACCTGGCTCTGGCTACATGGGCGGCAGGCTGACTGTGACATTTACAAGTGAAACACTTTAATGAGAAGGACGTCACTTTGCTCTTTTCGGGAGCAGAGCTCCTATAAAGTTGATTAAAGCAGTTACCACACCTGCGTTTGCCGAGCCTAGATTTGGTGTGTGATTGGAATCAAAATCAGCAGATTTCTCACTCCGTCCTTTTCCATTATCCTTCCACTTTCCCGATGCGGAAGCCTCGATGTCTTCCACCCAATTTCAACATGTTTCCATCTCTCGCCGACTCCCTAAACCTCAGGCTCTCTCTTTGTTTCTCCCCGTGCCGTGGTATTAATAGCCTCTCTGCAGGACTGAATGCGTCTTCAGCCCGGAGTTCAGCCAGAGTTCATTGTCAGTTCATCTTCGACTGTGTTTTAATGAGTTTCAGAATCCGCCCACCCTCTCATGGCAGTCCGTCCTCCAACACTCACGCAAATTATCAGGGGGCCAGAGTTCCTGCCATCATAACACTTATTGGAGTGTGTGAATGACCTGCGAGAAGGTGTGTTTAAAATAACATTAACGAGCGGATGGACTCGGCAGCCACCACCTCAGAACAAACAGAGGTTTAGTTTCGGCAGACATCATTATCGCTCTCCTTTTATATATACTGTATATAGAGGGAGAGAGATTCACCCACACATGCTAAAGTCAACACTACCTAAAGCTGTAGGAATGGAATGGATCGCTTGACTCTGACCCTGTGCACTAAAATAAACCGTGATGACGCAGACTGTGAATAAAGGAAAAGACTGAATCATTAGCAAATAACATTTTAACTAACAGATCATATAATTGAGATCTAGCTATGAGTTTTAATTTGGTCAATTAAATTACGGACAAAAATGTTAAGTTTTTTTTTTCCGTAATGAAGAGAGCACGGCTCCATCTCCACACTGCCTGGCTTCAAGTCAGGAGAACCCTGCCCTCCCCGCCTCCCCTCCTCGGGGCGGGTACCTGTCTCAGAGACACCCTTGACTTTAGGCAGAGCTGGCCCCTGATTGGTTGTGCTGGCACTTGTGGGTGAGGTCTTTCCTGTGGTTGTATTGGAAGGGGCAACAAAGTTACTTAAGAAAAATATCCATGAAATGCATTTTAAATCAGGAAAACATCCATTTAAATATGCGAGTTCAACACATTTCCATTTTGTACAATATCAGTTCACCCAAGAATGAAAATTCTGTCACCGTTCTCATGTCATTAACAAACTTTATGATTTTCTTTCTTCTGTTAAACGCAAAATAAGATTTTTTTTTGTGATGGTTTTGGACCTCACTGACTTTAAACAAAACAGGTTTAAACTGAATGAATATAATAAACTGAAGTAAAATGACTTGAATTCTTACTTCATATTTTTTGGATTTAGTAATGTAAGAAATATATAAAAAAAAAACGAAATAAAAATGACAAAAGCATATAAAATTACAAAAAAACTAAAATCAAAATGTAAATAAAGTAATTTTAAATATCAATATAATATAATATAATATAATATAATATAATATAATATAATATAATATAATATTAATACAACTGAAAACCGCATTAGACCCCACTGACTTTCATTGAGTGGATGACCTAAAAAAAAAACAAAAAAACCCCCCAAACAAACAAACAAAAAAACCCCCACACCTTTTGCATCCCCGTTGAAGAAAGCATGTTATACGGCATTATAACAACATGAGGGTGAGTAAATTAAGTAAATTGAGTTTTCATTTTTGTGTGAACTATCCCTTTAAATAGCTTAGTAAAAGATTTCAGAAGTTGTAAAGTTTATGTGAAGGGTGCTATAGAAATCACAGTACAAATCACGTAAAACACGAAAAAAAAACAAAAAAAACCATCTTGCAGCAAAATCAATAAAACATTTTCTTTGTTTCGTTGTGCCACCGCATGAATTTCTAGCCCCAGAGTATTGCAGAATCGAAACTTGGACTTGGAGGCATCTGATCTGAGCTGAGCTAATCTCACAGAAGCTTCTTTTTGAACAGTTTCCCCTCCCTTTCTCCTTTTCCATCCATTCCCCCACAAAGTGCTGATCCTAAACATACTTGCGGACCACATACTTTGAGGATATCCTCATAAGTCTGATTCAGAGATTTAGCTCTCTTCGTTCCCCGGCGACTTTAAGTACCAATGACCTTGCGGGGTTCTCCTTCTGAAAGACTCAGCATCCTCTGGCTCGGGCTGCTGTGAAGAGCTCCATCACCGGACTAATGCTTAATGTAGCGGCACACAGTACTCATGAGCAGCAGCCGCTTGTCCGGGGCCAAACGCGGAGCCCATCCTCCACTTGCCCACCTCTAAATAAAGCCCGTCATCTTGCCATCTGTGCCACACAGTGACCGATCAACAGGGAGCTCGCGGCCGGCACACGGGACGCTTTTATTATCATTCCGTTTCCATTCTATTTAAAGAGTGCCGGAAGAAAAGAGCTGTCGGAAAACAGTGGTGCATTGTGGGAATTTTGGTCCACCTTTCATAATGGGATGGCTTTATCACGCAGTGGGAAGACAGCGAGAGTTCTGAGGATGTAATAAGTTCTCTTGAATGCAGGTAGAGCTGTAATTACCGTGCCGAGGTGCCGTGGGAGGCTTTGTCCCAGCGTGAGGTGAGGAGCTGCACTGCCGTGTCATTTCCAGGAGCCATGGCGGCTGAATGAAGCGGCGGGGAAGCTCACTGAATGTGTGCACCCACTGTGTGCTCTTTCACAGAGAGGAGCACCGGGACATGCCGGCCAGCATCCCACACCTCCATGACACTACAGCCCATCCTCTCTCCTTCCTTTCTGCCTTCATTGTTTCCTCTTTGATCCATCTCACATCCTTCATTCCTCCCTTCTTTAAACTCTGTCCTTTTAGGGTTAGCCCTAACCCTCTTTCCTTAGGGTTAGGGTTTTTCAGTCCTTCATCAATCTATTCAAACTTCCTTCCTCTATTCTTCCTTGCCTCCTTCATTAATCTATTCTTTCTTCATAAATAAATTCTTCGTGAATCTATTCTTTATAATTAATCTATTCTTTCTACCTTCATGAATCTATTCTTTCTACTGTCATAAATCTAATCTTTCTTTGTGAATCTATTCTTCATTATTCTTTCTTCCTTCATGAATCTATTCTTTCTTCGTGAATCTGTTCTTTCTTCGTGAATCTGTTCTTTCTTCATGAATCTATTTCTTTCTTCGTGAATCTGTTCTTTCTTCGTGAATCTATTCTTTCATCTATCATGAATCTATTCTTTCTACCTTGACAAATCTATTTTTCTTCATTATTTTTTATCCTTAATGAATCTATTCTTTCTTCATGAATCAATGCTTTCTTTTTGAATCTATTCTTTCTTCATGAATTAATGCTTTCTTTGTGAATCTATTCTTAGTGAATCTACTCTGTGGACTCTCTAATTATCTATTCTTTATAATTAATCTATTCTTTCTACCTTCATAAATCTAATCTTTCTTCGTGAATCTATACTTTGTCATTAATCTATTCTTTCTACCTTAATGAATCTATTTTTCTTCATTATTCTTTCTTCCTTCATGAATCTATTCTTTCTTCGTAATCTGTTCTTTCTTCATTAATCTGTTCTTTCACCCATCATGAATTTATTTTTGCTACCTTCACAAATCTACTTTTCTTTATTATTTTTTATCCTTAATGAATCTATTCTTCATGAACCTATTCTTTCTTCATGAACCTATTCTTTCTTTGTGAATCTATTCTTTCTTCATTAATCTATTCTTTCTCCATTCATATTTTTCTTCCATCATTAATCTATTCTTTCTACCGTCATGAATCTATTCTTTCTTTTTTCAATCGGTTCTTTTTTCTTTCTTCCTTCATCTATTCTTTCTTCCTTCATAAATCAATTATTTTTTCATTATTCTATTATTCCTTCTTTAATCTATGCTTGCTTTATTAACCTACTCTTCCTCACTTTCTTCCTCTCTTCATCTATTATTCTTTCCTTTCTTATTATTATACTTCCTCCCAACCTTCCTCTCTTCCTTCTTTCCATCCATCAACTATCTACCTTTTCTCCCTTCCCTCTAATACTGTGAAAACAGACAGAAAGACAATGCGGGGAGTTATTCACTTCTCTCTAACTGGCTGATGGACAGATTGCAGGCTGTCTTAGAAATATTTTGGTACTATAATCAGCTCAGAAAACAGTGGCACTGATTCATTAGCTGAAGATTAGAACAGAACAAAGCAGGTGACTTGGAAATGTTATTTACTAAATCTCATCTGCGCTAATAACCTCATGTGACTAATCCAGATGGTAATACAAGGATTTAGAGAAATATACTGGATATTTCACATCATTCACAGAAGACAGGAGCGCTGATGTGTGTGTGTGTGTGAGAGAGAGAGAGTCAGAGTGCATTGTGTGTGGTACAATAGCTGTATGCTCTGACCCGGATCACACTGCATCCACTGGCACGCTTTAGAAGCAAAACCAGACAACACCACCCAGGGATGTTAACACACACTTTCACACACACAGGCCAGCTGTCAGCTAGTATTAGCTCATGACTGTCTGAAATATAATACAGTTCGCAAAAAAAGAAAAACAAACCTTGCACATTTCTATTTCACACACACTTTCCTTCCCTCTTTCACACGCTTCCTCTCTCCCTCCAAAACACACACATATGCTCTCTCTCTCTCAATATCTTTCATCTTTCATCACATGCACCGTCTATCACAACATACACACCCTATGTTCCTCTCTCTCTCACACACACACACACACAGACATACCGTCACACATCCACTCGGTGAGAAAATTAATTTGTCAGATCGTGATTTTCAGTTGTTCCTCCAAAGCTTTTGCTCAGAGCTCTCTGATACGGCCCACAGCCCTGCAGGACATTTCTGTCTGCAGTCCAGATCTGCAGCCTGCAGACTCACTGCGGGTCATTTGTGTAACGGACTCTATTGATCTGGGAAACTATCGCCTCTCTGTGAGCTGTTGTAAGAGCTGCTCAGAGGTCAGAACAGTACAGATTGAAGATTAATGCATGTGTGCGTGAAAAGCAAACTGTCGGATACAAAAAAAAGACATGTAATATTCACACCAAGAGATCAGTGACAGAATGTGAAAAAAAATTATAGCAATCTGTGCCTATTGTTGAATACAAGACCCAACCTTGCAGAATATAATGGCTGGCCATAAAATTTCTGCTTTAAAATGGTCAATGGATATGGACATGACTGTGATTATGGCTGGACAAAGTGTAACCATTTACTAAAGCAATTTGAATGACTGAACTTAAAGCTTATGTGATTGAATTAGTGCACTGACCGTACGCCGAGTCCACTGCAGGGTTCTGCTTGCGAGTCGTGGCCAAGACATCTACAGAAAGAATTAGATGAAGAAAATCTACAGTCAGGCTAATGAACTTCATTACTCGGCAGAAGAATGCTTTATTGTGTTTTTACTATAAATAAATCACATTATTTATTGAACAGTGTTGTCTTATGGTAACATATTGGATCTGCACTGATGCATAAAAGCAATAAGCTATTCGAGGCCATGCATTAAAGCAATCTTACTATGGCTAAGCAGATTTATATCATAATCATAATGATCACTTTAATTTCTTCCCTTTTGCAATTACAACACAAGAATGCACACAATACATGAATCTATTATATATGGGACTGGCGATGAAAATTAGCAATAGGCTAACTCTGGCACAATGCATCAAACATTAAAATAAATAAAAATAATAAAAATAAAATAAATGAAATCACACAAAGAAATGTCCACCTTAATGTGAAAAGAGAAAAAATAATTGTATTTTTGCATGTGGATTTTGTGTGTGTGTGTGACATCAATTTCATTAAAGATTTTTGTAATGTACAAAAAAAAAAATTATATATATACTGTAAGATCTGTATAATTTTGAAAGAAGTACTTTATGCTCACAAATTATATGATCAAAAATATAGTACAAACAGTAATATTGTAAAACATGATTAGAATTTGAAATAACTTATAAATTGAATATATTTAAAAATGTAATTTATTCCTGTGATGGCAAAGCTAAATTTTCATCAGCCATTACTCCAGTCTTCAGTGTCACATCATCCTTCAAAATCATTCTAATATGGGATTCTAATAATACAAGATTCTTTGATGAATATCACTTTTGAGACAATTTAATGTATCTTTGCTGAATAAAAGTCTTAATTTATTTTGAACCGTAGAGTACATTATATTATAATTAATTAAAATCAGCATCAATTAAATAACACTATGATTTAGCATTTACATTATATGTCAATTTGGGAAGAGGTGCTTAATTGTCATTAAAAAAATGCCACAATGCACAAATCTTGGAAAAATGTGATTTCTTTTTGTCTCTTTTCTTGTTGGAGAGAAACACGACCCATGCATGTTCCCTCAGAAAGGTTCTAGAGTTCTGGAGTTGTAGTAGGGATGTAAAAATGGTGTGAATGAGTTATGATCTCTGGGAGCAAGTCAGCTTGGACTGTCTGGAACTCACCATGACAGCTGTCTGGGTACTGAGGATATCCACTCTCCACATACTGCTCAAATCCAGACCTGTGACAGAGACCGAGAGAAGGAGAGCGTGAGCAGCAGAAGGAGTGAGAAAGAGGACAAGAGAGTGACAATCATTCTTTTGTGAGCCTCTCCCTGAATGATCCCTCTAATTAGTTGTGCTGTCAGCAGTCTGTTGTTGCTCTCCAAGCAACTGTAAAGGGAAATAACATGTTACAATTTGATTGAGGCTCGAATGTCTGACATACAAGGACACTTCCTATATACCATGACTGACAGCCGTGATTTAGCAGCCATAAGATGAGAAACAAATGCAAATGTATAGGTACAGAATTTATACATACGCAAGAATTCAAAATTAAGTAGGTGCCAAATGAAAGTAAATTTGGCAATTTTATAGGAACTGCAACATATTAAAACTATGCGACTACTTGTAACAACTTTTTTTCCCCTCAGTGGAAGATTTATCATGATT